TCGGGAAAATCGTAGCGCGCGCGGAATTTGCGAACGAGAACTGGAATAATGGAAATTCGTTGACAAGGGATTTCATTAATGCATAACAGAAAATCATACACGAGCAATGGATATGCAATATGCGCAATTAATTACAGGTGCACTCGAAGGGAGGCAAAATGAAAATTTATTTATAAAATGTAAGGCTATAAAAAATCCATTTAAAAAACGCGATTACCCCGAAGCGCTAGCTTTTCTAAGCGTCACCTTTCAGCGACTACTGACAAAAGGATGATCGATATGTTGCAAAGTTGGAATAGCTTTTTGTTATATGAAGCTTTTGTACGCCTTTGACTTGTTTTCTATATGCACCACTGCCCTTTTTTTCATATCCAACACTTGGTACTAAATTCGAAGTAAGCTGGACCATATTCACGAAATCACCACTCATCTTCTTCTCGCACCCCTTAATTTAAGTCTGTCGCGTGTAAGAATTGAAGCAGTCGCGTGTTCATTGCCTTACATGTATATTTACACAGCAGTAGTATTTAATGACATTGACAATTTCACCCACTCGAGAATCATCAAGTTGTAAACTTCGTCCTTGGTAATGTTACGAAATGACCAGTTGTGAAAAGACAAATTTTTCATTTACATAATATTATTAAAGAGCCTTGATATTATATAAACGCAATTAAACAATGTGGTTCGCGCATTCCTTCGTTTTCTTTCTTTTATGGATGGCAAACACGCCGTTCGTACATAGGTTTTTGACGATGATGTTAATGTTAACGTTCTCTACTGATCGTTAATCTTTGGCTATGACATTAGGCCGACGCTTATGTCCCCGATTTTTCTTCGTGTGCATGTTGGTCTATGTGCGCACGATAAAATGTTATCCATAAATCACCTATCGATTATACATGCTACTTGATGTTTTCCGGTTATTAATTTTTTCAATCATTTTTGGTTAAGGTTTTAGGTCTCATCGAAATTTTGTGATATTGGTCGGCATTAATTTAAACCAGCTAAAGTGTCATCACATGTTCACAGTGTTCACCAAAAGATTTCGAAAGGCCTATCTATAGAAACCAGGGGCGTTTTTTTGTGGAGGTACTGAAATTACTTTCCACTCGTCAAAAATTGTCTGTACTGCCATATTGCAATTATTTTTTCCCAATATTTTTAATGCTCAATTTCTATTAACTTGATTGAAATGTGATCTTCTAGTTATGAAAGAAAACGATTTATTAAAAATTGAATTATTATTAGAAATCTAATACGTTATTTATACTGAATACATTTAAAGAAATCGCACAATTTTTTTGCAGAGTAATAGTGATGCAGCAATCGTAAGTCAGGTCGTGGCCTAGATGCATATTTAAAAACGTCGAAAACTTTTGCAAATCAATCCGAAGTAATGATGAACCTAGCTTCAAAAACATTAATAAAGCATATACCGGATGGTGACTTGCGGTCACAGCATACGATTTACAATGTTAAATCTTGAAATATTGACTTTTTCATTATTTTAGAGACAACGTGTATTTGGTTTTGTTGTGTAGGGAAATAATACGAATCGGTACATTTAACTTTCAGTTCAGTTATTTTTACAGTGGGTGAAAACGAGTGCAATTTAACTAAAGTCAGTGTGATACCATGCCATTTTGAAAGCAAACAAATGCCAAGCGCGCCTGTTGTTTTTCCAAGGCAACACAGATTTTTTAAAAAAAAAAGTAAGCCTTGTTTTCAGTTTTTCCAGTTACAGAATTGGGAAAATTGAATCTACATATTTTTTCTCAATTACAAAATCTAAATAAAATTTGTCTCTAAAATAATTAGGGAATCTCAATTATATCCCTTAGGTACGCCGTGCAAGTTAACACGCTGTATAAGTGTAAACTGTACCAAATTTGATTTTAACTTGTTGTTGAGCATAAATTAATATTTATTGTTTCCTTAACAATTGAAGAATTAACATTGCAATGATATGCGGTCACTGCGGCTCCTACAAAACACTTGTCCAACTAGCTCAAAACAAAACAAAATTGATACTAAGAATTTTATAATCCCTCCTGGTACACACCTAGCATCTGCTATAGAGAAAAATCCTAATACTAGCTTAAAACTTCTCAATTTGAGAAACTTGGTGGCCTCGATCAACTTCGAAAATTACAAATAATTTAATACACAAATTTAGATTCACACCTGACATAAATTTTGGACACGAATAAAAAATCTGACAAAGACTTTTATCTGAGTCGCGCAAAGGATTCGAATAAACACACAATTAATTGGTTGACAATATTACAAACATTTATTCCGAGACACATAAAACCATTAAAATAAAAGAAAGAGAGAGAAGCTTACAAAGCGTGTTTGGACACAATACCCCGCACGCAGGCGGTAGATAAGAGAAATGGCATAACATTTAGTTCTTCCCATGAATTCAAAGTGTCCCGTCGTTTTTCGCATAAAATTTGTGAATAAATGGAGATTTTGCTCTACCACTTAACTTAGAATTTAACGATTGCTCAACTTCTTCTACACACTTCACTGTGACACCGATTGCGTCTTTAACAAAAGTTTCACTATAAGATATTCTCGTTCCTCAAGATCTTTCAAATCAACCGCCAATCAACAGACTTTATAACTTCAGCTTCGCAGGAACGCATCTCCACTTACGCCGAACTAACGCGCACATCGTAACCTCTGGTTATCCGTTGTCTCTTCTAAAAGCGATACGAACAAGTCCGTTAATTAAATTTCGTCCGATAACACAATTTGCAATTTCACGTTTTATAATTAAATACACAAATCTAAATAAACAATTTACAAAAACGATAAACCTTAAACAAGAAAATAATACACAATTACAAACAATTTTAAAAGGAAAAAAACGCTGAGACACAAATTTTAGTAAAATAAAGGAACTGTGTGCTTATTCGTCAATAGTCCCCCAGATTTACAGTCCCTTGAAATATCCCGTCATTATTTTTGGTGTTTAGACCGTCTTCATGATGTTTACACAACAATATTGAGGCAAACAAATCTCAAATTACCTCTCTCAACTGACGCTTAAATTTTAATACAACGATTCAGCATCGTTAACTACTGTAGAATTCGCGTAAAGAAGGTACAATGCTAGAGGTTTGGCATTTGCATTTGCTTTTATGGTTGTTATTGATGGCAAAGGGTATAGTAGTTACGGAAATATAATTTGTCCGAGATATGTAAGATATCTAAACACTATTAAACATGTTACTGGATTGGTTGCATATTTTTGCATATTTATTGCTCATTGCAAATTTCAGATTAAGTATGCAAATCTATTGCTGGAATGTTATTATTAGCTTCAGGGAAGTTTACTTATGAATGAATGTTTAGTGTGCTTCACCGCCATTATAATCAGTAATTTAAAATCCAAACTTATAGAGTAAAATATCTAAAAAATCAGCGACAACGATAATATCATCATTAATGTTTTTCTTGACATTTATTAACGATCCTCAAGATCGTCGCAATTGATTTTCAGCTACGTAGATAAATAAAAAACAATTGCGTATTTGCACAATCCCAATTTTTTACTTGTTAAAATAATTAAATTAAATTTTGTATGTAGACATCTCGCATAAAGGTAAAACTAAAAAAAATTTGTTTTACAAGCTATGCTGATCTGGTGGAGCAAAATCAACCCCTTAAGTAAAAATGATGTATGCGTAAAAATCTCGAGGATCGTTGGGTACTCAGTTGTATCGGATTTTTTTTACCCAATTCAATAGTACTTACATTCATTATTATTGTTATTCTTTCTGGTTCTGGTTGTTATCTTCTTGAGCTTTGAATCACCCAAAATTTGTGTAACACTGTATCTTTAAATTCTTTAGAAATTTTAAGCATTTTTGAAGCCTTGAAATTACGTATTTTGGAAACTGATCGGTTTGAAATTTGATGGATTTTTCCCCGTGACGTCGCATGTTCGATATTGACGTATATAACGGAAACCCAGCGTACAGAATGTAAAAATGTAAACACATCGGCATGGTACTGCGCAAGTGGCTTGACACAAATATCGTACGCGAAATGGCAGTGTGACATCAACGAAAAAAGTAGTGTTTAAAAAACCTGATAGGGTCCAACAATGAATCTAAATCATCCGGGGAAACAAAAAATTTCATCAAAATCCATTCAGCAGTTTAAGGGTACAGTCACAAACACACGTACAAAAGAATTTTATAAAAAGATAATCTTCTGTGAACCATACCAGAATCTGTTTGTAATTAACAATCTTTTTCAAATTGAAATCAATAATGTACTTATGTGGTACCACCTGTTGACAATGTTTCATGATTGCATTACCAAGTGAACCCATAATCAAGTTTGTTAAGAAGCGCTCTAATCTAACAATTGACGTCTGAATGTGTTGAAACAAAATCAGATCTGAACCCCCCCCCCTTTTGCTGGAAGTTTTATTTTTATTATAAATTTTACCATTGGACTGCATAAAACTGTCGCTTGAATTTAGAACCTGTATGTCTACTACTTTCATCTAAACTTTCCTTTAACTTTTTATTTTATTGAACTACTAAAAAGCTATAGTGTTGTGGAATAGTTCTCGACATTATTTTTTCACCACCAGAACTAAACAAGTTTCCAAACCACTACCTTTGCAAATTTTATGCAGTATCTGTCTAATTAGCCAAACTAATTATCATCTTAATTTGGTGTTTCGATGACACTGCTCTTGTTCTCACCAGTAAAACCGTTAGTTTACCAATTTACATTTTTTTATTTTTTTATACGTATACAAAAATATGCTTTATTGTCCAAAAATTCTCACGATCTTGTAAACAGAATTATTGCACAAACTTGAGTGTTGGGAGGTACAAGAGTATGTCGGTTTGTTTGTAATGAAGGTATTTTCTATTAAAAAAGGTTATGCGCAACTTGCAAAGGTCGTAATTTTTTTTTGTTTTCATTCTCAAAATACGAAATGTTAAGATTCCTTTTTTTTGTTGCAGCAATTATTTCGATCACAACAGACACAAGCAGCGACCAATCCTAACGCCGCTCAGTTGCAACTTTTACAACAGCAACAGCAGCAGTACCTCGCACAACAGCAACAAGCGGCATATCCACAAGCACCGTACGTCTTAAATCCACAGCAAGAACCGTATCTGATAACAGCCAGCGTACCACAATATTACGGTGTCGGACCGTGGGTATATCCAGCACCTGCCAACCTCATACAACAAAGCGCAAGTAATGGAGCGAGGAGGCCTCTCACTCCGAATGGATCCGAGGCACAGCAACAAGTACAGGTAAGCACAGTACTTTGACCCGCACCTTTGCTTCAAGCACGTCGATTTACAGCAACAAGTCCCCAGTGGCTACATCGTTCCGTATTACGAACAAAATCCCGCGATACTTGTCGCACAGGGACCGGCCGCGATGCGAAATGGCACTCCCATGCGACTGGTCAGTCCCGCATCGGTGCTGGTGCAGCCACAAGCGAACAGGCAAACGCCGGCGGGCGCTTCGCTCTATTCCAACACACCGCAAAGTTTGTACGGTGGAAGCGTAACAACTTCGGTTAACGGAGGAACGCTCGGAGGTTTGTTTCTCTTTTTATTGTTGCAGTTATACTAATCTGTCATGCATCTCCTTGTACATTAAAATCGCTTCATGGATAGATGCTTGCTAATTAAAGAATACTACGTCACCGAGCGCATATCAAAATTATCATAGAGATTGGGTATTTTTATTCGAGTGTGGCATAATGAGCTATAAATTGTACATAGTCTCATTAGTCCACAATCAATGACAAATCTGTTATTAATGTGATATATGGGTATATGGATCGTTTTCAGGATAAAATTTCAATTGTTTATTTGTAAACATGTAGATTTATGGCACCAATTTTTTTTTGGGTAACATTAGAAGTGTATACCTATAGATTGTTAAGGTACCATATATTGATTAATAATAATAGTCGAATGAAAGGAAAAGAAAAAATTGTTCTCTGACAATTGCATAAATTCAACTGTGTTATTTTTTTGCACTGTCGAGATTCTTTCTCATTACACCTTGAAAGTGTTACTTTTGACTGTGCTGCCACCACACAGCTAAATATATCATCAATAAGAAAAATCTCAAGCGGTTACAGAGTTTGGTGCAGGGACGATGGACATGCATTTTGTGGAAGTTTACTTTTCAAAAAAATTGAAGAATTTTTGTTACCGTACCAAAGGACCGAGCCCTAGCCGGATATCCTCGCCACTAGACCATTGTGGCATACAGTATATCGTGACTGAACTGAATCACATTTTAAAAACAGTTGAGGGGAAGGGGCATCTAAAAGATGCATGCCCAATGTCACCACACCTTACTCACTGTATCCCCTAATAAAAAATCGGGCCCAAGGTGTACAGTGCTTTAGTCAAACACTGGTTGTAGGTGAGTTTAGGGTGGTCACAGCACTCTCACCAAATCTGTCTTGCCTCCTATACTTCAGTTGAAGATTGATTTTTTGTGTTGGTTTAGGTATCGTTATTTTAATCTGTCATCCAACAGGAATGTATTTAAACCTTCAGCTGTACTGGTTACATGTATAAGTTGTACAAAAATATAGCAAATGGATTAATTTATTTCTACATAGACATAGATTACAATATTTATTATTTGAGGAAATTGTCCGCCTACATGCAAAAATCAGACAAAATCTATTTCTGTTTCAAACTCACTCATTAGTTCCTATCCAACGATTGGGAAATGTATCATTAAGGTACTGGCGGACATTATTCCCAAAATGTGGAGGGACCCCGTCTTGCTGGAACCATATTTGGTCGTGGGGGTATCCGGATCGTCTTCATTTGAGTGTCAAACAGTTAATGCAGGAACTTCCTCAAATAGTAGAATATTTAGATAAACCTCGGGCTCCACAAAGGTCTGGTTTCCCATCATTCCTGCCCACACATTAACTTTGTGCTGTATCCTTCTAGAAAACAATTAGGGTTTGAAGATCAGTATCGCGTGATTTGTTTATTAACTGTTTCCTCCATCAGTAAAATTATTATTGCAACATTACAAACACTGAAATAAGTATTTTACCAAAGATGACCTTCCCTTATAATGCAAAAAATTGGCTTTTGACTGAAGGGTAGGTAAGGCACATGCAGAGGCAATTTTGGTCAGTGCTTGAACTCTGAATGCTGTCACTAAAATGGTGACGAGCGGTTAGATTGTAGAACATTGTTGATTAAATCATCATTAGTAAGGTTTCATTATTTCACCAAAATAGTTTAACTTATTTGCAAATGACAGTGGCTATTCTCAATATTGAAGGGACTTTCATTAAAGTCACTTTTCATTTGTTTAGTATATTCACATTTAACCATTATTGACAATAGGCATTTTCTTCTCATTATTAATTAGTGTGACTGATTTTGAAAAATTGAGATTGTGTGTACAAATTGACATTGATAACCACATCATGTGCTTGTGTACTAACTATGGTCGGTGTGGGTAGGTGTAGCCCAAGGGGTGGGTTCTGGTTTATTCCCTCCGCTGCACGCACCACCTTCTGCTCCCTTTGGCAGTTCCTCGCTTGGAAATATTGGCTCTCCTGCTACAACAACTTCCCTGCCTTCAGGTATGGCTAATACATTTTTATAAGATCGACAACCAAAATGTACAGTAGCACAAACCCAAGTATTTCACTATGTAAATAACTAGTCGAATGTCTGACAGGTTTAGGACTGAACACTGGAACAACAGGTCGCCGCGATTCATTCGATAGAAACACATCGGCGTTTTCACCATCCTTGGATTACAGACCGAAATGGCCCGCATCGTATGGTTTGGGTAGCAGCCCGAGTCCGTTGACGGGAAGTTTAACACCCCCTCCGACAGCGCCCTTGCAGTTGGGCGGACTTGTGAATTCCAGAGTGCTTTCGGCCGCTCCAGGTGCTGAGGCGAAATACAGAAGTTCGGTCGCCGCAGGTCTTACTGCAAACGCCATGTTCGGTTCCACAAATTCCTTATTCACCAAAATTAACTCCTCACTCACCACAGTCTCCGCTTCCTTAGATAAAGGCCCGCAGGGCCGTTCGCGTCTTCTCGAGGACTTTAGAAATAATCGTTTTCCAAATCTACAATTAAGGTAACGTATAGCTCTATTGGCGTTTACTTCAATTTTGTATTCGACAGGGACTTAGCAAATCACATTGTCGAATTTTCTCAAGATCAGCACGGGTCGCGATTTATTCAGCAGAAATTAGAACGAGCGTCGGCGGCCGAAAAACAGATGGTCTTTAACGAAATACTCGCCGCCGCCTATAATCTCATGACCGACGTGTTCGGAAATTATGTTATTCAAAAATTCTTCGAGTTTGGAACGTCCGAGCAAAAGACTACGCTAGCGCAAAAGGTTCGCGGACACGTTTTACCATTGGCGTTACAAATGTACGGGTGCCGAGTTATCCAGAAAGCGCTTGAATCTATTCCACCTGAACAGCAGCAGGAAATTGTCAAAGAACTGGACGGTCATGTGTTAAAATGTGTGAAAGATCAAAACGGAAATCATGTTGTACAAAAATGCATAGAATGTGTGGATCCTTCAGCGTTACAAGTAGGTATTAAATTATCGAAACAATTTTGCACATCTGGTTTTTGTTTCAGTTTGTGATCTCGTCATTTGCTGGACAAGTATATACATTATCCACTCATCCTTATGGGTGCAGGGTGATACAACGTATTTTAGAACATTGCACTCCAGAACAGACTGCCCCAATTTTAGGAGAGCTCCATGCACACACCGATCAATTAATACAAGACCAGTTCGGCAACTACGTCATTCAGCATGTGCTAGGTACAAATTCAATTCAAATAGAGAGCTGTACAGATAAATTTTCTTTTTCTACAGAGCATGGTAAACAAGAAGACAAATCACAGTTGATCAACGCGGTACGAGGGAAGGTCTTGGTCTTAAGTCAGCATAAATTTGCGAGTAATGTTGTGGAGAAATGCGTAACGCATGCTACACGGGCAGAACGGGCGTTGCTGATTGAGGAAGTTTGCGGATTTAATGACAAGTAAGTTTTGTAGTGATTCTAGCTTGGTTTAACGAACTGGTTGTGGTGCCTCCTAGCCGAATGGCTCTGTATGGGATGGAACATTCCGAAAAGTCCTTGTCTAGAAGAGTGTAAATATCATTAACTGAAAAAATATAAATTTTTCAAAAATTATCGATTTTGTTTCTGTAAAATAGGCCCCAATCATTCAAATCCTTGTATATTGCGTAAATTTACACTTTGTGTTTTTATTTTTGTTTTCTAATTTAATAATCGTAACTAGTATTGGACAAAACAAACTGATCAATGTTTAAATTAATGTAGAATATATGTATAATGCTTATTATATCATTTCTAATGTCCTGGGTGGAGCTTATTATAATAGATTATTAATAGATCGGTCAGAACTTCGCATGTCTTTTGACTCGTTGATTAGAGCATACTTGTACTCATTCTTCCGGTAGTCTTTGTACCATTCTGCCACATTAACAAACATGGTACACTCCGGCACTAGAACAGAACTAGCTCTTGTACCTTTAAAGGTTGCTGCTATACAGTTTTTCCTGCTCACAAGTATCTTGTAGCTCTTATGGGTCTTCTTCCTTTTGCGTCACTGATCACTGACAGAAATAGTTTACGCCTTTAAGCAAATAGGTCCTCGATCTACAATACCTGTTTTGTGCACACTACAATTCAATATTATACAGGGTGTTTTTTTGGGAGCTTGAGTTAAACGTTTCTGGGAAAGTAAAATAGGTAGGTTTTTGAAAATTTGTACTTAGAGAGTTACTCTGAAGACCGAATGGATGTAAAATATTTTCAAAATGGCCACACTTCCGGAAACATCGGAAGTAGATAGTAATATCGTTATATTAAATGGCAACCCCTACTTTTTATTGCATTTTTGGATTCTACTTAAAATTTCAGTTCTTTTGATACCCACATGTCCATATCTGCCATTTATGGTTTTTAAGTTATTTTGACTTTATGAAAAAAAATGGCGGATTCAGATGGTACCTTGATAATTGATTACTTGAAAACGGTTAGTCATGGCAACCCATTTTTATCAGTGCATAGAGAATGAATAGGGCTTTCTTTTAGTGTACTTAAAAAAAAATTAAGTTGCGTACAACCGCACCTATGGAGATCCAAATTTAAGAAACTTCAGAAAGTTCAAAAACTCAGTTTTTTTTAATGGAATGACCATGTTCTTCCTATTGCATGAGATAGAGAATCGAATTTTAAACAAATCAAGAAAAGGATTCTTTAATATCATTGATTCTAGTCTAAATAATTCATTAATAAATAAGTAATTTATTAAGGATATAGGACGAAAAATTTTTGAGAAATCTGGACAGAGTCGTTCAACTGAATTTCTTAAACAACGTATAAGTCTAAAAATTCAGAGAGGTAATGCGATACCTGTTCTAGCAACAATTCCATACAAAAAATGTTTTAACGAAGTTTTTTATATTTTACATTGAATTTATTTTGTTAATCTTGCATTTGCAATTCAATTCATTTTCTTAAATATTCTCTTGTATAGCTTTGTATCACTTGTGCTTCAACGGTTTGTAGTGCAGGGATACAACATTTCCAAAATTCATACAATTTCGTTCCAGTGTTCGAATGAATGTACGGCAAGCATGTGCCGCGATTCTGTCCATTTCACCATAAATAACAATTAAATTCAAAAATAGGTGAAACCACTGCGAGTCATTTTTCGATTTTTGAAAAACTTGTGTTAACCTATAACAGTAGGTGACGGATTAGTGTCACTAGAATTGTTTAAAATTCAATTGTTTTAAAATCATGGCCGACTACTAAAAAGAAAATTTGAAAAAAAATAGTGTCAATTCAATAAAATGGGAATAAGTCAGAAACTGTTAAAGATAGCTATAGGAACATGTATTGTCAAAATATGTCCATTTCGATGCTTTATCTCATGCAATATTAAGAAAATGGCGATTCCATTTAAAAAAACTGAGTTTTTAGTCTTTGAAGTTTCATAAATTTGGATCTCCATAGGGGCGGTCTTACGCAACTTAACTTTTTTTAAAGTACACTAAAAGAAAGCTGTATTCATTCTATACGCACTGACCGTTTTCAAGGTATCATTATGCATCCGCCATTTTTTTTTCTTAAAGGCAAAATAACTAAAAAACCATAAATGGCAGATATCGACATATGGGTATCCAAAGACCTGAAATTTCACGTAGAATCCAAAAACCCAATAAAAAATTTGGGTTGCTATTTAAAATAACGAAGTTACTATTTACTTCCGGTGTTTCCGGAAATGCGGCCATTTTGAAAATATTTTACATCGATTCGGCCTTCAGCGTAACTCCTAAGTACAAATTTTCAAAAACCTACCTATTTTACTTTCCCAGAAACGTTTAACTAAAGCTCCCAAAAAACACCCTGTATATACTTGCTGCAACATGGTCGCCAATCTCAACAACCAATCAAAAATTAGATACTATTGTTGCCACTGTCTCTATAAAGTCACTATAAATAGGTATACATTGACTTTATATGAGACAGTGGGGATAATAGGAGCCCAATCGCAATGTTGCATAAAAAATCAAATTAGGAGTAGGCAGCACTACATAAACGTATCGCATGTGTTGCGTACACTACAACAGTGTTTCTCAACCGGACGTAGTGCATGGACCGGTATAATATTAAAGTCCGTATTTGCAGAACAGGGGAGTCTGGGGGGGTACTCCTCTCCCTGGCAGAGAAGGATCACGAAAATTTTTCACAAATGGGAGCTTGAAGACACTGTTTAACGCTCCCAATTGGTACAAAACAGTAACTTTTCGTAGGTAGAGATTCGGGATCTACTTTATTATACTAAAACCTATCAAGGGAGAAGGGTCGATACTCGTCATAGTAATATGCCACAGTAGAAAACGCAGTTTATGAATAACACCATTTACATACCCCAATTACATATGAAGTCCCACGCCACCTTATTTAAGCGCGATGTTCGAATTTTAGTATACTACATTTTTCGTGGACCGCCAAATATTCTTTGCGGATCAGCGGTGAAACACTGCACTACGATACGATATTATATACTCGATGCTTTATTTACCACTTCCTATCATCCTTAGGCCTGGTCCTCCCCATGAAATATAGATTGACAAAATCATTTAGGCAAGACAATTATCTAAATCCAAGTGGTTCCGATTCTCGTTCTGAGTGGCACACTTTTTAGTGTTGATTTAATCGATTAGAATTGGAGAAAATATTAAATCTGTGTCCTACTATAAGTTGTGCCTACTGTATCGTTCAAATACGTCATTATAGAATTTGTTCTCACGCTCATTAACAACTTGCAACCACCAGTTGATACATAAGCAATACCAAAATGCAATGAAAACCCACAACTCCTAAGCTTAATGTCAATTTTTTAGTGCGCTGCACGTGATGATGAAAGATCAGTACGCAAACTACGTGGTGCAAAAAATGATTGACGTCAGCGAGCCGACACAGCGAAAAATCCTAATGCACAAGATTCGACCACATCTGAATTCGTTAAGGAAGTACACCTACGGCAAGCACATAATCGCGAAACTGGAAAAGTACTTCATGAAGGCGCCCGGATCTATGAGTTCGATCGGCGGAGAGCTCGGCCCGATCGGTCCTCCGCCGACGAACGGTGTCTTGTAATTTAGTAGACAAATTTAATTTACCCGTCGCAAATATAATTTTTATTTTTGTTTTGGACCAATCCTTTTGTCGATTTATTTTAGAATCCCTGTAAATGCAGTATTTTTTTCATATTCGAAGTTTTGTATTTTATAATCGGTTTCATTTGATTAGCGTAGATTGTATCGTATTACGGATACAATAGTTGTATTATAGCTGTATTTATGTACGTGACTCCATTATGAGGGTTTGATTTCTCATCTCTATACAGTTATGTATTACGTAATGTAGGTTTTTTGAGTTCATCATTATTGGTTTTTAAGTATTTATTGGCTTAGTTTGTAGTCATAATAAATATATACTAATCGTTTATTAACATGTAATGCGTCAAGGCGTAGAATGTAGCCTCTGCATGTCCACCTTTTTTTACATATAAACACATCCATGTACAGTTGTTAACACAGAATTTTAAAGAATCTCGACTCGATTAAATTGAATGTAATTTAAGTTTTCAAGTTTCACATACTGTAAATAAAAGTCGTTTTTAAATCTCCATGAAAATCCCCCCGATTTATTAAGTGTGTCCCCCACAATCCTTCAGTATATTAACAATGTGATACATTCCTCAGGAAATAGTTTCTGAAACATCATAAAAAGTTGTATGAATCAAAATTAATATAGTTTTCCTGTTTGCACCCACTCAACCTTTCTTTTTTGAAGGGGTTTTGTCGCGCGTTCGTTTCTTGACTTCACGGAGGGCGCTGTCGGGTGTCACTTTCATTTAAGGACAAAGTTTGCAACATACACCTTTTATAATGTATCGAAAAGTAAAACCCCTGGAAATAACATTTCCATTTACTTTGTTGCGCATGGCCGTATGAAATTGTTTAATACACACACTTTGGTATATGTGATTTCGTTGTTTGTATATTGTCGTATGTTAGTAATTCTATAATAATAATCATAACTTTCTAATTGCATTAAAAGATCTCTATCAATGTTTATTGTCGATTTCACCCTTATTCTAATTGTACAGATACTACATCTACATGCCTTTTTTTCATTTTTAATATTGACTTGCTCTATATATTGAGTGTTATCGATGTACATTTGGTAATTGTATTTATTCTTTTTTTTTTCGGGTTTATTTGCAAATTAATGTGCACCTATGTTTAAAATTGTCGTATATACAATAATGTAATTGTGGATAAACCCGAAATATCTTGTGTCAGTCGTCTTTAGTATGTGTACATACCATACCCACTTTTGTATTATATGTAATATAGTTTCGTTCGTAAACATTTCCAAACAGCCAATTTTAAATTGCTGGATGGTAGAGTGTACACTTATTGAAGATAACTGTTGCAATTCGATATTTGTAACTCGGTCAGGTTGTAAATATGATTTTGTATATGTCATTGTATAAAAGAGTCTGGTTATTTTTTGTTCGGTTGTTAATTGTGTGTTCGTATAATGGTTACTGCATTCAGTATTGTAAAAACCAGTTTTATTTTCTAACCGAGTTGCGATGAATCGACTGTACGAGGGCCAATAGAACTACATAGGCACCTGAGACTGATGTAAAGAAACTAAACAAGCTGTAAAGTGTAAATTCATATTTTTTTTTCTTGGTTAATCATGTTGTAAAATGTATAAAATATCTGTGTAAAAATCCCTGTAAAATTAAAAATCATTTGGAAATACATCAATGTAATTATATGTAATCTAAATTGGAAGGATTATCTGGTGTAAGTTGCATATTGTTTTAGGCGGCAGCAGTAGAATGCCGTAGGGTAGCTGGGTGGGGATCACTTAAGTTCGTACAACTTTATGGCTCTCTGTGGATTTCGGCTGTATACTTTTTTTTTATTTACAGATGTGCGATCTGTTCGTGTAGACATATAATTTTCTAAGTGCATGCTGATTTTTGATTAGGCGTTCCTGTTCATGTGTATAAGTATTTTTAATGACGATAGGATTTCTTTTGATATAAGTTGTCGTTCGATATTTATTTTGTAAGTTGCTTAAGTTTTATATACACTCGCTTGCAAAATACAGTTGAATAAGTAGGCTGTTGCGCCATTATATAAGATATTAGGTAGAAAAACACTTGAATAGAATTTTCTGTATGTCTACATTGACTTGCAATAACCAATGTAAAGACTCTTGTATTTTATAATCTATTTTGTATTTTTTATACAGTATAGTAATAATTTATGTTTTGAATTGTAGACTATTCGGTGCAATCCAATGTAGACATACGGATGTAGAACTATCACAACAATCAATGTGTAGATGACCATTCTCTTAGTGTAGGCACCTTACATATTGTTCTATATAGCTCTAGTGTCTTGTATATTATTATAGTTGTACAAAGCGACACCACGGTGTCGGTAACATATTTGTAATTTAATTCATTATAATAAAAGCCAGTAATAGTAATTCCTTATATCGCTTATTTTCATAACCTCGCTGTACATAATCGCATTAATATGCTGAAAAAGGGATAAAAGTTATATGCTACAGCTACTCTGGGTTTTTGTAGAACTATTCGTAATATTACATGGTTTGTATATTTTTTTTTACTTACATACATATGTAGTACAGAGTGACAAGACTCAAATTTTATTAATAACTGAATCTTTTATAGAAATATTTGTTACAGATGAGCAAAGTATTAACTGTACAAGCGAATGAATGTTGATGTATATGTCGTAGTCTTTTAGTGAAATCCGTCATTTCACGAAACGCCTAGTCATTTATATGAAACTGTGGCACAGTGTACTTTCCAGGGCCAAGCGATTGGATTCCGTTCCCATTGGAAATCGATAAATGGTATTCTTATCGATCTAGAAGGGGAAGGGAAATTACCCCACACGTACAAATTTTCAGCGTTTCACTAAATGACTAGGCCTCGGACTAGGCGTTTCGTGAAATGACGGATTTCACTAAAAGACTACGACATATACATAATTCCAAATCAGTCATGATCCTTTACTTAAATGAATAGGGGTATAAGGATCAAAAACCCAAAGCAATCTTGACAAAAATTAATTATTATTGGGTTTACAATATATTAACAGTAAAGGGTGCATTTCCCGGACTAGACTTGAAAACAAAATACTAAAGCAACAACAAAGTTTTATTTTTTAATATAGTGCCCCTGCTTTTGATTACAAGTTTCAATAGCATCTTTAATCCAGTATAAAAATATTCACTTGGTTTTTTGCAAAAATGTTTTCTCCCTTATATGTTTTTTTGAAATTCAGGAACAAAAAGTAGTATATGTGTGCTAGATCTCAACTATAAGGTGGAGGATCAACTTCTTCGGAGCTACAGCAGCTTTTGAAAGTTTGGACTTGTGCACTGGTGCATTGTCGTGGAGCAACAAGACCCCTTGTGTCAGTTTTTCGCATTAATACCATCTCTAAGACGACGCATCAAGTTTGTGTAATACTCTCCCATTACCGTACTATCCTTATTCATATAATTAATAGGCAAAATTCCCTGATAGTCCCAAAAAATGATTGCCATTATTTTTCTTGCAGAAGGGGAGACTTTTAAACTTCCTGGGAGGGCTGCAGATGCATGTGACTTAGAAGGGCACTCATCCCCGTATACAGTCAACACTTCAACAAGGATAATTTTTGGAGGTTCCTTGTTTTGTAAGGGATTTTATAACAGCTTGGTATTCGATTTTATTCATTTCGATACATAACCAACGCGCAAGGACACCAACTGACAGGTAATAAAATTGATAACGTTGCAATTGATTTGTAAATTGCCGCACAAGTTACCAAGGCATATGTGATTTCAGATATATGGAATGGAAGTAGGTAGCATATTCCGAATTAGGATGCAAACTGGTTCTCAGCTCTCCTACTACTATTGTTCAAACACAGACATTTTGTGTACCAACACAAGGAGTAAGGTGTTTTCATATTTAGCAAATTTTAAAATACTTTTTTTAGATATAACTGGATCAACTTTACTGCGACAGACTAGACTCATTTTTTGGTGCCTCTTGCTTAGAACCCTATTTAGGAGGTTCTGATTAGTGATGCAACAAATATTTGGCTTAAATACGGACACATGGGTACTATGAAAGAAATTAGATAGCATAAAACGGTCTTATTTTGTTGTGTTTCTTATTAAGTAATTACTTGTGTTTGTTGTATGTACATACAAGGGTTACTATTTATGTATTGAGGATAGAAATAATAAACAAATGAATTTTATCAAAAATATTTTTATGCGTTTCAAAATAATCGCCTTTAAGATCTCTAAACCTTTGCATGCGATTGAACCACCCTTCAAAGCCCTTTGTCCAGTCAGAAGATGGTAGTTTTAAAAGGCCTCAGTTACTTCTTCGGGCAATGAAATTCGTTGTCCACGAAGATTATCTGGGAACAAGAAGAACCCATCAATTTGATCTTTTTGAAATCATTTTATGGCACTAATAGACACGAACATTTTTTGAGCATTTGTCAACAAATCTGGAATCCAACACGCACACGTCTTGTGAACACACAAATGTTCGTGCAAAATCTAATGTATGCTGGTCCTACTAACGATTAAACATATCTCGATTTCGTGACATGCCACATGACGATGTTCTTCAATTAGTTCTTGCACAGTCCATATTTTCTGGCACAACAACCGATTTTATAACGTCAAAAAGAATATTTTTAGTGTTTTAAGTAATGGGTACAGTTTACTTGGAGCAGGCACCCCACTCATTTACTTCTTTGAAATTCACTTTTCAGCATGAATTATGATCGAATGAGCTTATTAGAAGCAAAAAGCAACTGTCATTTTTGAGTTCCACTTTTTTAAAGAGAAAAATAGGTAAATCTTCGGAGTGAGCAGGTTTATTTCAGTTTTTCTTCTTAGAAACTTACGAACGTCCCGAGGAGAGAACCTAGCTCCAAGGGGTATAGAGGTAGGAAATACCCCTCAAGTGCTAAAAACGTTTTGTAGGGAGAACGTAGGCCCAACAGGGGAGTCTGGTGGTAAATAAATTGTGCTAGAAACACAGTGGGTGTGAATCTACTAGCAAAGAGTTATGGGTACTCTTTGCTACTAGGTTGTGAATTAAATTTTTAAATTTGATTTTTATGCCAATACACATAATAAGTATCACATATAGGTACTGTGTTTTAAGGTGTCTGTAAAATTTCACTTGCTGTGCTTTAGAATAATGTATTGAATTTCTTGCTGCAGGTAGGTACTGCGTTTTGGGAAAATGATGTGTTTTGGAATGAGGCAGCCAAAAGTAGGTAGCATATTACGAATTTGGGAACAAAGTGCTTCCCGGCTTTCCAACCATCAGCCAAACACAGACATTTTGTGTCACCAACGCAAGGAGTAAGGTGAATTCTGAATAGATTTAATACAATTTTGAAACTCTTTTTGTAGTTATCACTGGATTGGCATTACTGTGACAGACCAAGGCAGATATTGTAGTGCTTAATACCTTTGTTTCTTTCTTGTGTAGCAAACAATCTGGATTTAGGGGGAATATTTTGGAAGGGTACTGACATCATTATGAATGGAAAGGATTGTCAGGAGGATATATGAAGCTGAATAGGTAATACTGTATTTCATAAAAAAAACAGCTTACAGGAGGTTTGACTGTTTGTTCCCTCTAGACTTCTAATAGCCCGTTTTTGTTCTTGAAGTACCTATTTGACAGAATGGTTGTGTCATCTGCATAGATGATTACTGTAGTCTGGAGATGTGCAGGTAGATCGTTTATATTATAAACAGGATTGGTCCCAGAAGTGATCCTTGGGGCACTCCACGCTTTACAGTTGCAGTTTGGCTGAGGATATTGCTGAAGTGGACTTGTGTACTGTTTTGTCTATATGAGGATAATAAATTAAATATTAAAAGTCTTTTCTATAATCCAACTGTGTTTCAGGTTTGTGGCATCATATAAAATTTAATCTAGGAGGGATGCTGGGAAAAAGTTACTCCACCATCCAATCACAATAATGACATATCATGAAGATTGGCATGTGACGTTTACTGCAGTGCATAATTTGAACTATTGAAATATATGTGGCATCATGGATCGAGAAACAAAAAAATTAATATTAACATTTTCACCTCAGGACTGTTAGTATGCTATCGTATATGGTATTGTTGTTATGTAACCATTTCTTTAATTGCTTTGAAATTTTATCTGCACAGTCTTTAGTAAAACTTTTGATAAAATGTACCTATCATCTTAAATAAATTGCCACTCATTTAATGGAATCCTATCAACCTACATTAATTTTTATTTTGTACTTAGAAGAGATGGACTGATCATTTGGTCTCTTTCGGTTGTTAATATTTATTACAGATTTGTTCTTCATAATTTCATTAAAAATTGTTGCTAACATTTGTATCAAGTTGAACTAAAATGTAAGAATGGATTCACATGATTTAGAATGTCTTTCCTGCGTCCCATATATAGGTGCTTTCAATCCCCACAGAGCTTTATACAAGCATAGTACCTAAAAACCTTACTGCAGGGTTGAGGTCATTTGTAAATTACTATTTCTGGGTTACTGCCTGGGTAATTGCCAGCACTTATTAATTTCAAAGGACTTAGTGCTTGAGCCTTGCAGGCACTTTATGTGAGTGGTTGGGGTTTCATGCTTGAATCACTTTTTCAGAGTGCTTTATCCAGCCATTCATGACCGAATGATTAGGTACCTACCTTATATCGTAACATTGCTCTTTGGTGAGTGCATAAAATCTCCGCCACCAAAGAAAGCGAAAATGCATTAATGTTCATGAACTGTGAGATGAAATATTCATGAAATGTACTTATACAGTGGGGAAACTACCGCAACGGTTTTCTGGAGTTGTGAGGAGATTCTGTTGATTGAGTACATGAAAACGGGCACTACAATTTTAATGGCGATTGCATGACTGTTGAAGAGAAATGACCTCAGACTTTTGTCTAAATTGAAAACACTAGGCCTTTGATGATGACTTATGAAAGTTACTGTCAGTGACTGTTTTGAAGAACTACCAAAAGAATTTTTTTAATGTAGATAGTATCTGTTAAGAGATGCAAAATTAAATTGTGCTTTGCCTTAAATTTCTTTTCTTTCATCTAGGATAGATAACATGAAACTTTTCCTCGTACATAAAGGCGCCGCGCATTATGGGGTGAGTGTGTAAGTATCCCCAGAACTAGAGAAACATTTTCATGGAGTTAATGTGGCAAGTGCTATATCCTTCTCAGCCACTTATATTACCCCAGGGAGCCCCAGGTACTTATTACCTTAGCAATTAACAAAAATCTTGACAATCTTGTTTGTGCTAAGCATTGGCCATAAAAACCAGCTATATTCTCAAGTCCCCTGAGGAGCTTCAGGGCAAGACCTACTACCTGTATCTATTGATTGACTCAGAAGCAGTATACTTACATCAGGTATGTTTTTGAATGCAAAGGTCTTGTATTTTAAGTGAGTGATAAATTAATTTAATGACTAAGTACAGTAGAAGAAGCTAAGTGAAGAATAAAATTTTTTGGAACGATTTTTTTTCTCCAAAGCGTGAAACCCGCTTCCGCAACGTTGACACAAATAGTTGCAGATTAATTTATTCAGGTTAACGTATTATTTATAAGAATGAATTTAAAATTTATGTAGTATAACGAAAATGAGGGAGAAAGGATTTTGTGAATTAAATTTAGTAAAAGGGATTTTTCAGGTTGATCATTTGAAGATTTCTTGGACAGGATGCGCTTCATTAAAAAGCACGGTCTATTATGATATAATAATGATGTCAGGGTTCGATTACCCCGCGCTTGAAAACGCGCCATGTTTGTTTATATCGTTATCTTTTTTGCCCTCATGCGCTAGTTAGGTTAGTTTTGTCGATTTTACGAAATTTCGTTTCGACAGGGGGAAAATGTTGAAATTCGCTACGGTAGGTGTATTGAACCGTTTTCCGAGTTCGACAACGGCTTTTTGTGTCGTTACAATTTGCGAAAGGGGAAAAGGGAAATTCGTTTTTGAATGGAAACATCTGAGAAGCGGTTATGTGCGCATGCGTAGCGGTTCGCGCCAACAGCCCGGCACAGATGGCAGATGTTTTGTAATATTGCTGGGTAGCACACGCTGAAATTATTACGTGTTCACAATTTAACAATTTTTTACCACTCACTACGCGACTTAATTTTCCCAATTTTCACGTAGTCGGATAACCCCATTTTTGCTTTACTTGTTCCCGCTTTTAAAACGGAAATTAGTTATACGGCGTAGTCGTTTTTTCTTGTTTTGCGTGGTTATCACAGCTGCTTTTACGAAGTGGCTTGGCGACCATTTGCTGAAGTGCACTCGAATAATGTAGCTTTTTCGGGAGGGTTGTAAGTTTTTAGTTGCGCGGCTGTTAGGGCCTTCTGCTGGTGTAAATGTTGAAGAATTCGTCTGTCGTAAGTATTTTATTATTTCATTTAATCCTCGATAGATTATGCGTTACGAACGATGGCGGTTGCTTTAGGAAGGGTGGCGTTTTGTTTTATAGGCGTAAACGGAAGGGTTGACTCGTGAATTCCGTGCAAATTCTGATCGTTTTGCAATTACGAAACGTTTATTTACTTTTATTTGGAATTTATAAGACGGGAAGGGATATTTTATTAACCAAAATTGGCAAAGAATGCAAGGTCGGTACTGTAGCATTACGTGATCCACATTTCATGTTTAATTAATTGTTTTGGTTGTAATAAGGTAGAGTTTAATGAGTTTTGCTGTAGATACGGAGGACCAAATAGTCGCCAAACTTAAAAGGATTAGAAAACGACCTCCATTTTGAAAAAGCTTAATGTATTGACATTTGAGGACCAGAAATGCGTCGCGGGGTTCGTCGACCGGTTGTGGAAAGCCCTGGAGGGTACAGCATCATACCCTCCAGTTCCACGCCTGACATGGATATTGTTAAAACTGAATTCACACCCAGCCCACACTTGCTGGATCACGGCTACGGTGCGACACCTCAAAACCAAATCATCTCCTCCGGCCTTCCCCAGTGTCTACCGACCGTTAAGCGCAAACTAAACATTGAAAACTCGCAACATCTCATAGTACAATTCAAGCAAGAGTTCAAAACGCCCCAGCCCAAGCGACAGCGCAAAAGCTCTCCCGCCAAGAAGCTCACCCGGTTCGATACGTCCCTCGGACTCCTCACCAAGAAGTTTACCACACTACTCGAACATTCTCCGAATGGTGTGGTGAACTTAAATAAAGCCTCGGAGGAGTTGGGAGTACAAAAACGTAGAATATACGATATAACGAACGTCCTGGAGGGCATCGGAATTTTAGAAAAGAAATCAAAAAATAACATTCAGTGGAAGGGCGGAACTAAAGGTAGCTGCGCTTATTCCACTTTACAAAGTGAAGTGCAAGCGTTAGAAAATAGGGAAAATCAGTTAGATCAATTAATACATTATGCCGAAACCGAACTATGTAAGTTAAGTGAAAGACGTTACGGATACGTTACTTATCAGGATTTACGTACGATTACGCGATATAAAAACAAAACTGTGATGGCGATTAAAGCACCGAGCGATAGTACATTAAGCGTACCTTTGCACGAATATAAGGTACAAATGAAGAGCGAGAGTGGAGAGATCGAAGTGTTTCTATGTCCGGAGACTGTTCAATCCAAAGCGAAAAGTATACCGCCGATGGATCCGCTACTAAAAGACTTTAAGGAGATTAGTCCGGGATTGCTTAATATCACGACGCCGCCTGCACCTGTTTTCGATAGTCCGATCTCAAATCCGCCACTGAAGCCGTTGTCTGCGCAGGTAAGACTGTAGTACCACATTTGATGCATGTGTTTGACTCAACGTTTTTTTGCTCTTGCCCTCTAGGGTCTTTGACTCTTCAAAAAAAAAAAGCATTCTTTGAACAAACATGTGTTGCGCTTTACAAAAAACAATTGCCTACTCTTCTTGAGCATTTGAAATAATGCCATGGGCACTATATCTAGTGAAGGTTTCTGTGCCTAATTAACAACTCGCCCCTTCTTTTGTAACTGCTTTTATTTTTTATTATTATTTTCATACTAGTAGCTCTTGTCCTTTGTTTTCTATCTCTTTCTAATGTTGTTTTGTTTTCGTATATTTTGAAAAATTAATCTGGAAGACGAATGGCAATATGGTATTCTATATATTAAAGGATGAAGGGTAAGATAAATGAAATTGTGTAAACCAAACAGTAGCACAAAAAATGTGCTACTTTTTAAAGCTATAGATAGTCGCAATTCTATTTCACCAATAATTTCATAAAATCTATAGTCGAACTCTCCAAGATATTTGCCTACTTCTACCATGTACAGGGTGAGTCAACGATTACGCGGAGTAACTTAATGCCTCGAAGATAAGATTTTTCGATAGAGTGCTGTTGTATTATGATATGGTTGAATATTCTCCACATTTTAAAAATATTTGGAATTATACGCCCAAATGGTACGGTTTTTGAAATAGAACCCCCTGTATTTGAATGCATTTTTGAATTCTGCGTGTAATTGTACGTCTTTTTCATTATATGGTTAATATCCGAAAAACTAGTAGTTTTAAAGATAATTCGATTTGTAAGAAAAATTGGGCATTTGCAAGCTTCAGTATATTGTCAAAATTATTACTTAAATTTTGATTCCAGGTTTTATATTTTTTATCCTGGGTTAAGTAAAAGTCAAATTACATCTACTATGAAACATTAAAAAAATAGGTTAAAGGGTGTTTTTTTGGTAGGTCCAAAGTTGCAAAACTTCATATTAAAAAATCTCACTTGGAACACCCTGTATATTTTTCTGTCATCTTTTAGCTAAAGCAGAGTCTGCTTCTGGTACGATTATTTGTATAAATATTGAAATGTAGGTTAAATTTATAGGAGTACATCAAATATATTATTGTTACACAAAAACTGGATATTTAGTGTTAGAAAGATTAAGCAAATGTAAATATAACATTAAAGTTAATTTGGAAAATGTAAATTTTTCACATCTGAGGTAAATTATCTTGGACACAGGACAAATGAAAAACTGCAAGCTATCGCAAAGGCTCCTGTACCGCAAAATGTAAGCCAATTGAGAGCTTATTTGGGTCTGATCAACTATTATGGAAAATTTATCGCTATGCTGTCAGCTAACTTACATCTGCTATATACAGTGTGTCCCAGATCGCGTGGGATTGCATGGGTAACTTTGTTGTTGTTAAAGATAGAGAATTGGTTAAATGGGCAATGTTTTGCAGTTTTGGATGCTTATTTAAAATTTCCTTATGGAAATTCAAAATGTCACATAGGTTCGACGTAAATTCAAAAAAACTAAAATCGGTCATTTCCTTGAATGTCTTATATCATCGAAAGTATAAGAGATATAAAAAAAAGTTTTATATAAAAGTGACGGTCTTTGATATGCTTAATTTAGAATTGATGTCAAAAAAAAAATTCAAGATGGCCACTTTTGAGGAACATTTACCAACTTCCTAAAGTTAAATGGGCGCCATATTGGATTTTTAGATTACTTGATAGATTTTTTAATTCTCTTTTCAACGAGCTATTAGCCAGGTTGCGGACAGCATTTTCCGTTATGTTAGACGGCCATTTTTTCTTATAACATAAGAAATATAAATTTTTGTAGAAATAATTTACGGTATGAGGGCTTTTTGTACGATATATTTATAAATAGCGGAACCAATGAAAATGAAGTTCTTATAATGTGTCACTGCGCAGTACGTAATCACTCATAAATAACATTTTCCTGCTAACCTACAATTGTGCAGTGTTTATGTTGGCGGTAGTTCTTTTCATTTTGTCTAAGAGCATAGTAGTGAACTTTGGACATTTTAACACAATGTAAAATAAAAGTGAGGTTAAGACTCCTTCAAACTTATAAGCAAAATTGAACACGCCCAGCACACACCGCAACTTAACTTTGCTATAAAAATGTTTTATACTTATAAACTTATATTATAAGGAAAAATGGCCGTCTAACATAACGGAAAATGCTGTCCGCAACCTGGCTATTATAACATAAGATTGAAAATAATATACCAGTTATATTAACGGTTCTTGTATTTTAATCAAGTAGTCTGTGACGAATAAAAAAAACAAAACAAAATCTATTCGAGGCAACAAAACAATAAAAATAATTACACCAGATGTTTAAAATACTGGTCATTATTAGTGAAACACACTTCAAGACAGTTTAGTTTAGGCAACGTTTTACCATTGATTATTATTATTTTTATTGTAGTGGTAGCTACTTCCACTTTGCTTTTATTTTTTAATTTTACTTTTATAATTTAATGTACTGTACATAATTCGTGAATTGTGACCAGAGCAGACCTTTTGTTGGTAGGTAGCATAAACCAACCCTTTCTTCGAAACATACGTTGTCGAGAAAGTTTATTGGAGAATTTGTAAATAATGGTGAGCAGTTACAGATCCAACGAAGATTACCCGTTCAATTACATGACTTCCCATTATGCCATAAAATACATTAATTAAAAAAAATATTACTTGATTTCGGCGTGAAACTACAACATGTAGGTTTTCCTGTGACGAGTATAGTGTTCCTTATGTCGATTTGAACACTCCACAGAAAAATAAGATTCATCTGTTTTGGCAATAAATTGTTGAGAATAGTGACGATATAAGACAATCATATTCATCGTCATCTGGTATCCCTGACAATCTGAATGCCATCACACACAACATGACGTCTTTCCCAAACTCGCCTAGTAATAACTTATAGCTTAGTAACAGAATTAGAATACCTCCCCAGAGGTTAAATTCGTAAATGAAGACCTTTTATTGAATATGTGTGTTTCACTTAATTTAGTGGAGAGAAAATGTTGTGTATGGTGGCCATTGAACTAAATACTCCGTAACAGGAAGAGCATCGTCCGTAAAAAACTGTTGCAAGGGCGTCGTGATGAGAGAGATGAGGAGAGGTAGGTATACCTGATCGTGTTTCACTCACTTATGCGTTTTACAAAACAATGTGTCAGACAAGGATGATTATATTAACACCAGTGCCAGACAAGGATGAGGATACCTACCACAGCCAAGGTTAGGCGGCACACGGTTTTGGTTATCAATGCCCTTGTAGTTACAGAGTATACAGTTCAATAATGGTGGTCCACTATAGTTGTTGTTTATATGGAAACGAATAAATAGTATGTGTTAAACAGAATAGTTAATTGTCATTATCCATTGTACATTATAACATCAGTTTTTATATTATTAACACCCAAAATCGAACCACGGACGTTTTATCTAAGACGCGTCTCTTTCTGATCTCTCCATGAATTTTAAAATACCGCACGCTCCGTTCACCAGCCATTTTGGTGACTCCAAATCATGAGGTTCTCTGTGCCGCCAATCTAAAATAATTTGTTGGGTGTGTTCTACAGCGCGTTTTCATATATCAATGGCTTGTTGCTAACTTATAATGTTTGTAAATTCCCCATGTGTAATTTTGCATGTGTCTATGGCCAGTTTTGGTGGTACACACACGGTATATTAATTATCCCTCACCCTTAATTTTATCAGATTCCATTCCATTACTGTTTTTACGACCTTAATGCTTTTCAGTTTAACATGACCACTATTAATATCTCCACCCGGCAATCCACACGCATATTATTTTAATCCATTTCTGTACCCCTCGTCAATCATTGTGAAATCAATCTGCTTCCATCGGGGGATTTCCAGGTGTTTCCTTTTATGATGCTCGAACCAAATGTTGGCTATGATCCTTTCCTTGCAGAATTCTATTAGACGTACGCCCCTTTCATTCCCTGCTTCCAATCCATAACGACTCTGTTCACTCTACCTTCTCCAATAGTAGCGATCCAGTTCTCCATCACTATTTTGCTCTCTCTCTTGTTTCTACATTTCCTCTATTTTACTATTTATAATCACTAGACGTCTTGTAGTATAAAAACAGTCTCGCCAAACATCGCAGGTAGCTGCCGACTGCAAAACTGGTCGCTTGTGAGTTGTACACAAATTACGCTATTATATTTTCATTTCTATCTAGCCCATGCGAAGAAAAATACATAAGTTTTGTAGTGGGGGCTACCTGCGACTGGTACTTATACTAAACAATGTATAGTTGGCACGTACACTTGTACAGTTATTGACAAAAGTAATGATCGTTGAATAGGTAAATGTTGCAGAGTTTTTCTATTAGGCGATCATTCCTTTTGTCAATGACTGTACAACAAATAGACTTTTTGGAGTAGTACTTAATCTTGCTACTATAATTCTATCTCTTTTACAAAATACTTTCTCCATACTTTTCGCTACTTCCTTCATTGACCAAAATGCCCATTCCATTCTTCCCTTTAATATCTCCGCTGTATAGTAAAACATCATTCTGTCACCTTGTATCTGTGCACTTCCCTCCCACTTCGCTTGCTCCAATAATACCCAATCTATTTCGTTCGATTTCCTTTTTCAAGTTTCCTGTTCCTTATTAGGGATCTAACGTGCCATGTCCCTATTCTCAGTCTGCTTTTTACACTTTTTGTAGGGTTTCCCGAATTCTGCCGCCTCGGGAGATCCGAATGGGAAAGTATTTTAACTTTGGAATATTTAGCAATTGAGGAATCCGTACTGAATAAATGTGTACTCGCTTTTAGCACCACTTTCACTTTTACATTTTCTGGTTTTTGAGTTGTATTACAACATTATTGTTCGTCTAATCTGCAGTGATTCTTTTTCACATGTCTTCCAAAAATGCAAATGAAGAGCTGTGACCCATCTACCTGTGAAAGGATTGATATCAAATACAAGTTACACCAATAGCTACAATCTCATCAAAGACTTTGCTTTTAGCGCGTTTTTCTACTCATGTTGGAAAGCGCTATTATGGTCACTTTTTCCGTCCGTCCGTCTGAGGCTTTAATTACTCTTACCGTTTTTAATATAGTTAGTTCGTTCTTTTTGCTTTCGCTGGCACCTCAAGCAAGAAGAATCGTGACGATTAATGTGGTCATGCGCGGACTGCGCAATGTCAACTTTCTTATTTATAAAGATAATTTTTTGAAATTTTAACTAGTGATAGCTACCTTTAGTAAAGACAAGCATTTTGTAAGTCAGATGTGCGCATGCGCAGACTGCGCAATTCCATCTTTTTTATTTATGGAGATATTTTTTGGAAATTTTAAGCAAAGATTCTTGTAGTAAAGACAAACATATCGCATATTTTAAACATCAGGTGTGGGTATGCGTAGGCGGCGCAACAATGCTAAGTTTCGTATTTATGACATAGCTTTCCTTTGTGTTTCCTTTGTTCTTGTCTGCTACATGACCTTCAGGAAGTTCTGAGAAATTCACGAAAAATGCGCTAAAGCTACTAGGCGAAAACCTTTTTTTATTTTTTATCATACTTGCTTTTAGCATTATTTTTGCCTTTCCAGAGCTCTTTTTTTGTGTTTTGTAACCACATATTTGAAAAGTGGTTTTAGATATTAAATGCTTACTCAAAACAATAAAATATCTCACAAAACAATTATTGTTATACTATAAGTACAGTATTGTGTTCACACAGCAATCATTTTTTGCCTAATGAGTATTGGAGATCACTTGAATTATTCCAGAAACGGTCAGAATGTTTGGGTAAACACCACTTTTTCATGCATTCATTTCGACACAATTCGCCACAAAAAACGTTTCCAACTAATTTTTTATCATTGTTTACTTTTCAGGTTTGTCGAAACTTATCATTCTCGAAAGATCCAGTATTTCAAAGTATCGGAGCACCGAATTCAGTACAAGAACAACCGGTACCTGTCTACAACGGTACATCTTCTTCGACCGCCCCCAATTTGGATTTAACGTTATCGCCGGGAAAGACCGTTTTGGAAAGCTGCATGTTTACCTCCTGTTCCATAGAATCATCCATGATGCCGTCGTCGAAGTTAAAACAGTCGTTAATACACGGTCCGGATGATTTGGGACCGATGTTAGAAAAATTCTCGCCACAGTCTGATTTTTCCCTCTCGGGTGAGTGCACTTCTCGTTCTTTGATCGTTCTTCGTGTCCGCTTTGTAACAAACTAATGTATTAATCAAACTGCTCTTCTGGAAGTCTCGCTTAATTGCACCCGGGATGACGGTGTGAATGCGGTCTGGGGCTCCGTCTGTGATTTGTGTGTTTTTTGGATCACATCACAGGCAGAGTTCTAGGTCTGCGTTCAACGCTTTGCTTCTTAACGCATTTACATTAATAAAAAAATCATCGTCTAATAACTTGTGCGTTTACTTATCGTAAGTTTTTGCTTTGGTCGCTTGAACGTACGATGTGCTGAATTTCGTGGGGCTTATTTTCGTAGCACCATGGGATTCAGCTCATTGTGCTTCACTTAACTGCATAACGCCTCTTCTTACGTTATCATCTATTACTCTTAACTTATTACACTGACCAATTGTTAACTGAACTGTGTGTCGCTTACTGAAATTGCGTTTTAGGTACAATATGTTGCTATTTACATTCTAAAACTGCTTAAGAATAATAACAAATTGGGTGGGATAGCATCTTTAATTTTTTGTTAATGTGTTTGTTTGTAGTGGTCAAAAACCTATTACCATTGTATTAAAACCGATTGAAAAGAAATTGTTTACAAAATCAGACACAACTGTATGTTATGTTGTTGAGAAAATCCTTTTCAAGTTAGTTTCTGCTTCAGACTTCGGTTTTATTTGGAATTTGTCAGTCCATTCTCCATCATGGTTCTTCAACATATGAAAATGTGTTTTTTTTCATTGTAGTTCTTAGGTTTCTTTAACTAGGATCAGGTGTCATTTTTTGCACAAATTTTTTTGGTTTTGATTCTTCTCGCAAAGGGAGACGAGGTGCGTCACCGTCCATCTGTAGCTATACTATCTCCAAATCCTCTGGGAAGATCGCATCGCCAATGGTGAGTTAGAAGTAGTAGAAAAAACAGATTATAATGAAACTTTCAAAGCTGTACAGGGTGTCCTTTTTTCGAGTGCCACTATGGGGGTCTCGCTTATCTTAAGAAATAGAAAGTTGGCTAAATGAGGACAAAGTTGCGAATTTTGGTGCTGAAAAGAAGTTTAAAATATCTTCAATAGTTTTGAAAATATCACAGAAAAAAACGAAAATATATGATTTTCTTTTTTGACTTTATAAAGAATTCGAGTATGGCATTTGTTTTTAATAACTTTCAAGATGGCGGTGAAACACATGGCAGCTTTACTTTTCTTATGGACGCTATTTTGGATGTTGACATTTTGAGATTACGTATTTTTTTCTCTTTGCGATACATCATAGATGGTGGTTCAAATTCACATTTTTCCTAAAAATACAGTTTTTCATTTTTTTGGAAGAGTGCTTTGGAAAAACAAAATGTTCTTTTGCTGTGGACAAAAGTTTGACTTATTTTAAGTACATAGTGTCATTACGTTTGCGCTAGTTTTATTGCGAGAATGCCTTTTTCAAGTGAAATGATATGATACACTCCGCATCGAAATGCCCACATGGTTGCTGCAACATAATATTTGCGACGGAAGGACTCGAGCGCCACCAGGCGAAAATCTCGCGCCTGTCAGTGTGACAGTAAAAAGGCAAAAAATGATAGACGTACTTACGGCAAGTAAAATGCAAAAGATCCATCAAAAATTGAGCGTTTACCGATTCGCTGCGAAAGCGATGCAAATTAATTCGGTTTTTAATTAATTTACTCGGTCTGCAATTATCGGAAAAATATAAGATGGACATCGAACTTTTCTTCTTTTAAGCGCGGTCATTTTGAGATAACTTTGGGCGCGATCAAATTTTAATACTCATTAATTCAATTAATACCTTTTGTTAATCGGAATTTTATGATGCAACAACTGTTGTCGTTATCTACTTACACCCCGATATGTCTATAAGACTGATAATGTGTAAACAACTTATTTGGAACTCTGTCCTGGTTTTCGCTTATTATGGGAATCTAAAATCAATCAAATGAATTACTAAGTGTTTAGTTTCACTGGTTTTGTAATTTTGTTCTCTATTGAGTGAAATTCAATATGGCGTTCATGAGAAATAAGATAGATTCACTCGAAAATCCACAAACCATAAAAATGTTATTTTAAAACTATCAGAAAGTGGAGAAAAAATTACTAAGGGTTTGTTAAAATTATTTTTTGAAATCTTTGAAAATTTTTGAAAATGACATTTTTCGGTTTTTTGCGCAGTTTTTTGGCCATCACTTCGCTATTTGTAGTGCTACAAGAAACTATGAATGAGAAAATTAATAGCCATAAAATTATCTGCACAACTTCCTCCATTTAAGCGATTTTGTATATTTTACGGTTTACGAGATCCCCATAATGAAATTGAAAAAAAACCTCACCCTGTATATCATATTTTTGAAATTTTGATTTGTATCGGCATTCGGCAGTCTCAGCGACTATGGATACAATAAACAAAACAAAATCGCCCTGAATCCATGGCCTACTATTCAAAAACCGTAAAAAATGTTTATATTATTTTTGGTTTGTGCCTAAAATTTATCGGTGCATGCTATAAAAGCTCAAAGAGTTTACTTTGTACAGAACCTATACAGTGCATGTAACAATGTAGATGGATCTGCAGAATCGAATCAATAGGATGCCTTAAGGTAGCGGGCGTTAGGAAGGCACTAAGGAGACGTGGATAATGTGTGAAGAAAGTGTTAACAGGAGATGGATGGGAAAAAGTGTGCAGAAAGGAGTGTGAAAGTTGGCGTTAAAACCTGGGCGCAAAAGAAGCGTGAAAGAGGCGGCAACGAAAGGGATGCCTTTGTAGAAAGTATGAGGAAAACAGATGTACAAATAGGTGGGGACAAAGAAGATTTAACAAAGTGAAGGAGACATGAAGAAGTAATGACAAAGGCTTACAAGAGTCGTGATGGAAACCAGAAATCGTGTAAAAGTTGTAAAGAAAGAGGTCTAAAAACGGCGTGAAGGAAAAATCATGGATACCTACAAAATCAGATCCAATGTCTTTCTTTATTTGTGTTTTTTTTTATTATTTGTCTGTTACACTCGGTGTACAGTGTGTTCCAACTAAATTTGGCGCTATTGTTGTGGTTGGATTTGACACTGACTAATGGTAATTTTTCTGATTTTAGTTTTAGTTAATTTTCATAGGATATTGTTCCTTCTTCCGGGATTTTGACATTTCATTGATGGGGTGTTGAGGACCGTAAGCGTGATAGGCAAAACCATGGCAATTCATTCTAGTTGATACTGATACTTTTTCTTAGGCTACCAGAGAAGGTTGAACAAAGTTAGCCTCCATTGTAAGGTCTATGGGGCACCCATGTCTTGTGCTGTTGACAACTTTTCACGTCTTCAGCAAGTATGTGGTTGTGCTTTGTGTGGTATAAGTACAGTGACGCAGCGATTATTCCATTTCTTCTTAAAGTTCTACATTTTTCTGAGCCTTTTCTTTCACCAAGACAACATAGTAACTGTAAATTCAAATTTTCTTTCAAATGGCGATTTGAAGAGAAAGAAAATACTTGCATTTGGTTTGTAATTGACTTAGCTGTTGAGCAAGAAATCATTATTAAATGGTCACAGTAAAAGAATGTTTAAGCAATAGGATATGATTAATTTCAAAGTATGACTTTTTTCCAGCTCTTCCACCTTGCTGACTCGAATGATGTTATATTACACATTGTTTGTAATAATTTGTTTTATTATAGGTTCTCTCGACACAATACTCGCGGAGCCTTTTTTACATTTGGAGCCATTATCACATTCCGAATTCACTTTTAGTTTGGACAACGAAGAAGGTGTGGCAGATCTCTTTGATTTGTTTTAAGTTTGTTAATTTCATATAATATTGTTAAAAATCGTTTGCCCACGAAGCGGGCGAAATAATTTTTGAAATGAGTGTTTATGTGACTGTTTTCTTTTATCAGATGTGTATTCCATTATTAATCTTATTATCAATATTATTTTGTTTACAAAAGTATGTTAAATTTAGAACAGACGAAATTGAAAATATTATTGACATCAATTTTGGATGTCTAGAATTACCAAAGTGCCTTTTTGTTTGGTAGTCGTTTTCTTTACAATTTTAACTTATTTGTCTGTATGTTTTAAAATGAATTGTTTGCCTACTTTGTTTGTATAAAACTTTTTTAATGTTGGTTCAGTCGGAATCAAATGGTGCCATTTCAAAATGAAATATCAATGTAAGTTATTTCTTTAAGGGGGCATTTTATGTATAACTTTTAAATTATATTGTTTTATGAAATATACACAAAACAATGCAGTGAAGAACCAACTGCCAAAAACTTTCATCGTTATTACTTTTTGTGGTAACCAACATAGGTGGCTTCGTAATTGGAGATTTGTGTAAGTTTCACCAAAGTCAAAACCATTACAGCTGTATGCAAATTACACTAGTTTTCAGTTGCATTGCTGGCGAAATACAAATTTTAACGAAAAATGTAAGTACCTTTTGTCCATAAAGAGGAAAGTTTTGACAATAAACGTGAATAGAACTAATTTGCGACCATCAAATTCCAATTGATTGATTGCGATTCATTTTAAAGAACCGTCAAACGACAAACCAAACCTAAGTAAATACAATCATATTTTTGTATATGAGGGCAATATTCCGTACTAGTCCGAAAATTCTGTTTAAAGCGGTTTTCAGAATTTAGAATATTAACAATTTAACTTTGAAAGTTAATTATATAGTAATAACCATTCGACGGTTATAGGATTATTTGCTACATTCGCATCTCGGTCCTTAATATGTAAATAAATTTCTTTGGTTTGTAGTTTGATTTCCAATTAATTTTAGTTGGAACGTACTATGTAAATGGGAAATAGGAGAATGTAGTCGGAAAACGAAATGCTTTATGTATTAGTAAGTTACTGTCCAACCTTGTGTTAAAGTGCCCCTTCGAAATTTCGAGTATATGTGATTGAATGGAAGTGGGTGTTTTAATTACTTAAGTACAAGATATTTTTAATTGTTAAATGAGATTTTTGTAAATAAACTATTTTAATCTCGGCACTGTTTCTCTTGTGAATGTCCAAAGCCAATAGAGGCCTTAATGTTTACAATTTATTTATTCATTTTGTAGTACATAAAAAAAAGATAATTTTTACTCTGTACATAACAAATTAATAAAAATCTATAGATGCACACTATCTGTTTTTTCATTATTTTCTGTCTAAATTACTATACTTATTTCTATATTTGAGAAACGACCGTTGAGTATTCTAAGAAACCATTTTGTTTCTAGTTCAGTTTACTATTGAAATAACATACTTAAAATAATGAAGAGGGGGATTTTGAGTTCCATTCAGTGGAAAATTTGTAAAATGATGATTAACTATAACTGATTGCATGTGACTACTTCTTGGTTTATCAACATTCTATTAAACGCCTTGGCCGGGTATGTTCTTCTGGTATACAAGAGGTTCACGCCCTATGCAAAGGCTAGAATATCGTGTGCCTATGTAGCACGCTCAAGGTTGCCATATCAAAATTATAAAAGTTTTTTGACTTGATCTAAGTTTTCCTAATAGAATCGTCTGCTGTATGAGTAATGATCTACATTTTTCACATAATTGAAACTGATTCGTGTGGTGGCGGCGGCCGGGCCTCTATGGCGATCTCTATAGTGCAATACGCGGCAACGTTCGGCGCGGTAGCTTTCCTTAGAAGGAGTTGGCATCTCTTTCCTCTACTGAAGAGTGCGTAAAGCGTCTCCATTGCGTCGGCCAATCACGGAGGATTTTGCTAGAGCGCCAACCGGAACCTCCGAAGATATAAAGATAAGTTTGTTCTTTATTTTTTAAAGCAACGGTGTTGGGAAAATCTAACACGAGAACTGAAGATGAGTATGTAAAAAAAACACTTTTCATCTATAGAACACAGAATCTGAACTAAAAAGCCCAAAATAAAATGTTCGTCAAAAAAGATATAAAAGATAATATCCAGGGGTCAGCAACCTATTACAAAATTTCCCAGTTTCTAAAGAGCCACGAAAAATTTTCGATTCAATATTTAGTTTTTGGTTATATGCAGGGTCCTGCAACAGTGCGTCGGTCTGTCCTTGCAGATACGTGGTCAAAAATATTAAAAACAAATCTTTTGTGCAAATGTCAACTATAGATGGTAGCGGATCTACAGAAATTATTTTTGAATGTACTGGATGTCACATTATAACTGATTTTTAGCGCATTTTTGCAAATTTATTTGTAAAAAGTAGCTTTTAATCTCACTTTGGCTGGCTGGTCGGCTGGTTGGCTGGCAGCAAATGTGGGCGCGTAGAAGAACTCTTGTAGAAAGGCAACGGGTGTACGTGTATCTACAAGGCCGTGTAATTTGTAAACCTTGGGGACAGGGCTACATGATGTGGGGTTGGCGACATCTGGGCGTCGTCCTCGAGCGTAGTATACTAACGTGAAGGTTTTTTTCCTATCTTCTACTACAGTTTTGGTCCGATTCTTTTCAAATTGGTGTCGTCGGAAAGATGTTGTAAACGCGCACAACTCCTGCGGAATTTTGTTTTTTGGCCTAGGGGCGAAATTAACGACCTTTTGCATGGCGCGCGTTTCGTAAATCTCGAATGGCTGTCTCTCTTTCTCGTGTCGCCAATAGAAGCTCGAGCAATGAGAAGTGCCCCCCAAAAATTAAGTACTATCTTGTGGAAGGTTTTTAGCGAAATCCACCAAAATGTGGGTGTAATATAAGTATGCACCGAAAAAGGAAATGTGGTAGCCTCCGACAAGATCTAACTGATGGTGGAGAAAAATCTTCAAACGCGAATTGTGAGGGAACGGGACGTCGGAAGTGGGTACCGTCAAAGGGAATGTGGTAGCCCCCGACACGATCTTCCTGATGGTGGAGTCAAATCTTCAAACGCGAATTGCGGGTGAACGGGACGTCGGAAGTGGGTACCGTCAAAGGGAATGTGGTAGCCCCCGACACGATCTTCCTGATGGTGGAGTTAAATCTTCAAACGCGAATTGCGGGTGAACGGGACGTCGGAAGTGGGTACCGTCAAAGGGAATGTGGTATCCCCCGACACGATCTTACTGATGGTGGAGTCAAATCTTCAAACGCGAATTGCGGGTGAACGGGACGTCGGAAGTGGGTACCGTCAAAGGGAATGTGGTAGCCCCCAACACGATCTTACTGATGGTGGAGTTAAATCTTCAAACGCGAATTGCGGGTGAACGGGACATCGGAAGTGGGTACCGTCAAAGGGAATGTGGTATCCTTCGACAAGATCTTTTATTCATGGTTGAGTCAAAAGTGGCTAATAGAATACTGATCTGCCACACAAAAATGCGCTGAAGTCCCTTCGATCTCACTCACACGAGGACTTTGATAATTTTTTTTAAATAGAACATCCTGCATATTTGTATGTTTCAATGTCATTTGTTCAAAGTGCCATAACAATTCTTTTTCAAATGGAACTATCCCCATTTCATTTCGCTATTCGATTGCCTTTTGTGTTCTATTAATTTTTTAAGCCCCCCCCCCCCCCCTCCCAGGTTACCTATTCAATATATTTTTCACAAAAGTACCTACCCATTAATTAATTACACGTTTATACATCGGAGTGGGCTGTGATAATAAAAAAACAAAAGAATACCAAAAAGTAAACAAGTGTCCCAAATTAATTATTTGCTCAAGGTGTATACTTTCAATTTCGTAATTATTAATTAAAATTAAAAGGCTAATTTTTTTGCATCAAAAGAGCCGCAGGTTGCCGACCCCTGAATAGGCGATCCATGTTTCGACGTGGCAAAGGTGGCAATATTAAAGCGTCATTTGTGCTTTTGTTTCAGTTTTTGTTACTTCGCAACGGGACCTGTAGCAACCTTTCCTGCTCCCAAAAGCCCTACCGCTACTACATCCAGCAGAATTAAGGTAAACAATAATTACTTAAGGGTAATAATATTATTCTTGAACATTTATTTGTGGACATCCTGTACTTGTGAATCGTTTACATATGCGCGGTAGATGGCATATAAAATCTCTCAGAAAATGCAAATCAAATACGCCGACTGTTTATTTATCTCCCCGAAACTGGTTTCCATTACGTCACGACAGCGTAATTCAAATATCAGCCATATAGGAAATAGTAGTAAAACTAGTTACAACTTGGAACACTAGATGGTGAATCATCTCAAAATACAACTCTCCCCACCCCAACAGCAGGTTTTTCAGTACGCGTTTCACTTGCAAATGGTGTAGACGTATAGATTTACCTTTCTTTCGTGTAATGTCAATCAAATTATTATCGTGTGAAAAATATACCGTTAACAATCGTCGCTTTGGATGTTACTTATAATTCAACCTTAACTAGTGCGTGGGTGTTAAAACACGAAATTAATTTGTCGGATTGTTTGTGTTTATTTACGATTTTACAGGACGGATATTTAGGATTAGATTAATCTTTTTTGGGTAAGTTCACTATTCTTTACTATTTTGGGGCGTTATTGTGTAACAAGTCAGTCTCTTCCGTGCTTGCAAAGAGAAGAAGAGTCGACCCGTCTAAGATAGGTAGGTACACTCTCTCTAGAGAGAAGCTGCCGTTCTATAAATAAAATGTCATTTGTTGTATTTCAAAAGCAATTTTTTGAATTCGTCTTCCTGAACGTACATCTATCTACATTAGGTACGGTACGCCACGCTATAAATATTTCAACTTTCGTCCCACTAACATTTAAAAAACATAATGCACGTGCTCGAAAAACTCAAAAATTTTCCTTTTTTACGTGCGCTGTTTATACGTTTGGGGAAGTAGTATCGGACCTTATATGGTCCCTGCGGTATGCCGTTAGATAAATTGCATAATGAAAGTCGGCGTTTTTTTTTGCGGTTCGTAGATTAATTTGGTATTAAAAGCCGTTCTAATTTTAACCTTCAATGCCGCCTTCCTTTGCCAAATCTTGCTATGGTAAAGGGCAATGTACGATTTTTGCATTCAATTTGAAAGACGAACAAAAACTTTCACCAAAATAGGGTCTTTTAGATATAAAATCGTAAACAGGTAAACACTTTTTGATGGATGAATTGGATGATCTTTATTTTAATTCGTGATTTCATTGATTCGTTCTCGGTATGCATCCTCAAGGTTTCATAACAAAAGCTGAACTTTGTGACTTTATCTAAAACAAAAGTACAACTTTTGGCATGAATAAGGAACAATGCAATAAGTGATTCCAGAATTTGCTTAAAACTCGTTCGTTTTGGGCGTTTGATTGAACCTCGAACCTAATTGATTTGATTGCAATTTGTTATATCAAGTGATCCGGTCGGATCCGGTGCATTTTTACCTAGAACGTTTTAATTTGGTTTTTTTTAGCTTAGTTTTCCTCAGTTTTTCTTCGCGTGTACGTCTGTATGTCTGTGCACGATACAACTTTGCTGAGAGACTACCAACCGACGCCATGCTTTTGCTGTATTACTTATATCCATCATGTGTGCAGTGAGATTTTTTAATTTTTTTTCCAAAGAGGAGGTTGACGGCCACCTGGTGTGGTTCGTTGGTTTTTTTCGTGTATAGGTATATGCTCGGGTATATGTGGCCCCGTGTGCTGTTTTCAATGAAAGTAGTAGTAAACAGTGCATTTTGGAAACAACTTTGAAACGGTGTATAGTCTGTTTCCAATCAGCGATTCCAAAAGGTACCGCTTTTAAATATCTATCAAGATAACACGTCAGCTTGCGGAAATCGAGGCGGATTATCTCCGAATGCAAATGATTATAAAAATACTTGAAATAAAAGATACAGGGTGGCCCACTGAAAACAGTCAATGCGAATTTGACCCACTTAACGACAGTTTTGCCAGAAACGCTCGAACAGGTCAATTTTAGTTTTGAGGGGGACACCTAAATTTAGTAATACTACGTACATAACTTTAACCCTGAGAAGGGGGTGAATTACACCCCAAAAATGTTGAATGGGAAGGGGTAGTAAATGTTAGATAGGTAGAAAGGAGTGTTCATTGTGTTTTCAGAACTGTTTTTTTTTTATTTTTCAAATCCGATCAGTAGTTCCAGTGAAAACTCGATTTAAATGGATTTGCAGAGCCCTTTTAAATGTTTATTAAGTAGGCGTTGAAGTTGAAATAATTGAGAGCTTGTGTCATCTGACATAAGTCCAGAAGTGCAGTGTTATAAATCAATTCACTTCAAAACTGTTATACATTTATTGTTAATTAATTGTAAATAAATAACTCGGGTACCTAATGAAATTTACGTTACAATATGTATAATATACCAGGCGATTCTTTTGAGACGATTGAGTAATCAGAAAAACTCGTGGTTGATCCATGCTCTAAATGGGGTGACAACTCAGGTTTTGAGGAATTGAGTTGATTATTTCCTGTACGATTGAGTAACTTCGAGAGTAACTTGTTAAGAATCCCCTAATTTTGAACTCAATAATAAGAAGATTGTGAAATTTTCCTATCGGGCATCTATTAATTAAAGTAAAAATAGGTTCAGAGAACCCCTTAATCTGTGCTCCATCAACCCTCGATAACGATCATAAAACGGAATCCAACCCCCAACCCCTCACGTACCAAGTTTACCTTTAAGGAAGGCATCTCAATTTTTATTTTGCGCGGTTTGTAAAGTTTTTTTGATATTCAGAGAAAAATTTAGACAAAAAACAAACCCAACCCCTTAATTTGCCCTTGGTCAACCCTCGATAACGATCATAAAACGTTCTTACTAGGTTTAACATGTAGGGTGTAAAATTAGAAAATAATGCAGAAAAATTACAAAAACCTTGCCATACGTTTGGTTGGCTAATGTATTGCACTTATTATTTTTTCTACAATCGATATCCAAAGTAGGCATTTGCGCTCGTATTTGACAACGCAAACGTCATCTTTTTCGAGGAATGTCACTTTGTCGCTTATAAGCGACAAAATAGAAAAAACGCTCGCTCTCCCAATTATTAACTATAAATCAAATATGCATTGCTCAGAGTATCCAATGACAACGAGTAAATGACATCTTTCATTTGGACATAAGATTAAAATGATTTGAGTGAAAAATATAATTTTTGGAAATATGTGAACTGCTCGATTGTAGAAAAAACCTTGTGTGTAATTCGAGCGCAAATTGATTGTCGATTTCAAGAGATTGCCACGCTCCTTCGTCGCGCGTCAACTGTCTCTTTCAATCGACAATATATCATTTTGCGCTCTTAATACACAAATAGCTATACCTTTATTAATTAACAGAACGTCGAAAATTAACAAAAAAAAGCAAAGAGCAGGTGTAATAAGTGACAAAAACAATACATATGGAATGTTTCCTTACAACTATTGCATTACGTGAGAAATAAATCTAAATTTGGTGAAACCGAGGGTGAAACATTTGAGTTTTTCTCCATTATTTTCTAATTTAACACTATTCATGATTAAAGTAGTACCTACGAAAGCGAGTAAGAAGGGGATAGTATCTTTGATTAAGAAGTAGACATAGGGATTTATGTGTATTGCTTTTTCCCTATGTCTTTTAAAAGACATAATTCCTCTCAAAATCCAGATGTTTGTTTTAACAAGTTAAGAAGTAATCTTAAACTAAACGATTTACATAAAGCGCATTTCCACTTGCATTGATTTCCCATTTGTAAGATGCAACTTCTGTTAAAATCGTAGAAATCCGGCCACAAATATGAAAGATAGCATTGCACATGGGCAATCCATTGTTGACGTGCTACTTCAATTTCAGTTTATGAGAAGAATTTCATTTCAATGCTTTTCTAAATAAGAAAGTTGGAACTGCGCATGCGCAAACCTAAATTTTAAAACTAATGTTAGATTTTCCTTTGTTCCAAGCGCCTAAGTATCAAATTTCACTTAAATAGTTCCATAGATAAAAAAGTTGGCACTGCGCATGCGCAAAATAAAATTTTGAAACTGGCGCTAGATTTTCCTTTATTCCAAGTGCCTATGTATCACATTTCATTTAAATTCTTCCATAAATAAAAAAGTTGGTACTGCGCATGCGCAAAACCAAATTTTGAAATTGGGGTTTGATTTTCCTTTATTCCAAGTGCCTATGTATCAAATTCATTCAAATACTTTTATAAGTAAAAAAGTTTGCAATTCGGTTTATAAATGGTCGAGATGCGAAAAGGGCACTGTGAATTTTGAATCGATTCGATTCAACTTTTGGCATTGCGTATTATATGGCTAAAGCTATGCCCATATTGAATTTCATGCAATTCAGTTCATTACTAACGGAGATGTAAAAGCGATCGAACATTTCTAAACAAAGTTATCGTTCACACGGACAGATAGATGGACAGACAGACAAAGGAACAGACCAACAGGCAGACGACAGATAGCAATGCAAAATTATAAACGATCTCTAGGATCGTTAATAAACGGCAAAAGTGTAAAATTATGGAACATGTAAAAAACGGTTTTTTGTTTTTTTTACAATAACTTTTTTTGTAAGCGGTACAGAAAAAATTCCTTCCTTGGTACAAGACTCGACACCATAACGAACCAAATAGCGAAAAAAGTAGAACAATAGCTCTTAAGATAAAAAACTAGTAGCGTCGCAAAGTTAGCGGACGGACGGACGGACGGACAAAGTGGCCACAATAGCGCAGTTTTTTTTATTTTTGTAGAAATGCGCTAAAAAGTTATTTTTGATGCATAAAATTAGGCACCCTTCAGAAGAGATTTTGTTTTTTTTAAGTATAGGGAAAAACAATAGGTGCATGTAAATCCCTATGTCTACTTCTAAATAAATATCACTGTATATGTCATAGTCTTTTAGAGAAATCCGCCATAGGGCTAAGAAATCGATCTAGAAGGGGAAGGAAAACTAACCCACACGTCAAATTGTCGGCGTTTCACTAAATGACTAAAATTTTCGTGAAATGACGAATTTCACGAAAATACGGCTACATACTGACGATAGAATATTTGGTGAGGTATGAATATATTACGATTATTAGGTACAATATGCACACTTGCTTGTACAGATCGATCTGTACAGGCTGTTTCCCAAATCTGAAAGGCGATACGTTTAACATTTGCATTCAGCGCGCTAATTAAACTTATAAATAACACGCTAGCTATTCAGTTCGTCGTTTTTGTGTTTATTTTAAAGCGAGCGGGAGCGGCAAATGAAAGGGCATTAAGTGAGCGCAAGTGTCTGATGATGACCCTTGCCGAAGCGGGCGAAACTTGCAATTTGCTTAATAAAGGAGATCTATTGTGGAAGAAAAGGCAACATTAAATTGGATGAATTGCGGAGGCGGAAACGCGCGAATGTGAAATGAGCACAAATGCATATACAACTTCGAGCTAATTCTGGCATCACGCAATTATTTTAATGTCGCCGGTCGTTTTGGCGTAATATGCAGTGCAGGGTACAAATTTCACCGCATCGCGAGAAAGTACCGCGTTTAATTAAAATGGCGATCA